CATAAGACCGTCAGTCCTAAGACTCCACTCTCTCCTATTCTGAGCTAATCTCCGTATTTCTCTAAAACTAGAACAATTCACATCCTTAACTATTTGGGAACAGTAATCTAATTTAGTCCTACATCTACCCTCCTAACTGCCGTTTTTGCCCCTAATATAAAAAAATAAGTTGCTAGTATCACAGAAAAATTGACAATTTTTAAGTGATGTATTGTAGAGTGTAGACCATTACAATTCATAAAATTATATCCTTACGCAATACAAATTCTCTTGGTTATTCGTCTTTAAAAAAGACATGGTGATGATGTATAGGGTGACAGCAAATTGCTCGTATTCGTCTCAGAAGAAGAAATTATCAATAATTAGGGATGATTTAACCTCTATCACTTGGAAGTCGGAAATGCGTCATATTCGAGAAAATTTACTTCGATTTCCTTTTTACAAAAATCCAAATTTTGGGAGTCAAAAATTAAAAAAAAAATTATGTCAATTTTTGGTCTTAATATTAAAGCCTATAATAATAAAAAAATAAATTAAGAATAAGTAGATTTTCGACTCGTATGTGATAGAGGTATCATTCTAAATTAGTAACTGTTTCTACTCCCGAGATGAATATAAGCAATTTCCTGTCACCTTGTACGAGTTGTGGTAAACAATTTCTCATTCCTTGAGGACCGCCATAGAAGGTGGCCCAAAAATAAGTGATTACTAACAACTTTCTCATCATTATTCACATGGAAGCATCTACTTTTTTTTTAATTACATCTAGGTTTCATGTATCATGTCCTATACCTAAAGTCAGCAGTTACTGATAAATTTACAAATGACTTTTTTCAAATTTTGGAAGGCGCGCAGCTTGTAACAAACGCATTTGTAATTGAAAGTTTGTTTGTTTTTCGGAAATTTATTAAACAATAGAACAAATTATTTAATTAAATGTTCAAATTGCTGATCATTAACTTCCTGACAATAGGAAGTCGATCTTGAATGTCTCGTTACGCTTTAGTTGTGGTTTGTGGCTGGATTTGTTGTATTTCAGCTCTAATTTTGTTTTTCAATTCTTTAATATTCTCCGGTTTATTCAAGTAGACTTTAGAATCTAATGTTGATCAGGTCTAGACACCTAACTGGCCATTGGATAACGCCTCATCTCCTTCCGATCCATCTATTTGGAAAAATATTGTTAGGTAATATCGTATTACTATTAGCGAATAGTGTGGGGGTGCTCCATCCTGTTGGAGTTGTAGCTAATCTGCTGGTAGATATATTTGGGTTTTCAGCATTTGGGTAATGCATAGTTCATCTGGGTATTAATATATAATTTTGTAGTTGGTCTAAGCACATCAGACATAGTTAAAATTCAGAATTGCAGAATTCAAAAATGTAATAAAAAATAGGTGTTGTCATTTAAAAAAATAAAGTCGGTGCTAGTCGTTTATTTTTGGGCTATCTTGTATACATAAATAAACCATGCAAAAATAAACCCATTGGCAAAAATAATGGTCGACGTGTCGAAGTGTTTTTCCAAAAAACAAACCCCTGAATTTTAAATCAATTTGTTCCAACCCACACATCATCACTGTAGAATAACAAATATCTGTGTATAGTCGGTCCTCAAGGAATGAGAAGTTGTTCACTACAACTCGTACAGGCTGACAGGAAATTGTACATATTCATCTCGGGAGTAGAAACTTGTTACTATCGGGTTATTCGGAAAGTCATTTCGTTTTTTCCCGACAGAGGATTTAATTGTATTCTTTTGCACCCAACTTCACATTTAAGCCGTATAATTTTTATATGCTTTGAGAGCTCATATTGCAAGGCTTGTGTGTGAAAAATTCCAATTAATTCTACGCAGTAGTTTTTGGTTGGTGCCCTTTTAAATATGGAGAGCGATAAGCAGCATTTTCGACATATCTTACTGTTTTACTACAGAATGGGTAAAAATGCTGTTCAAGCCAGAAAGAAATTGACTAATGTGTATGGAGAAGGTGTGTTGACAGTACGCCAGTGCCAGAACTGGTTCGCTAAATTTCGATCCGGCAATTTTGATGTCGAAGATGCACCACGTTCGGGAAGGCCGGTTGAAGCTGATAAAGACGCGATAAAGGCATTAGTTGATGTGAACCGGCGAATAACAACACGTGAGATCGGATTGAGGTTAAATTCATCAAATTCAACAGTTTATGACCACTTGAAAGGCCTGGGATTATCCTCGAAGCTCGATGTATGGGTTCCCCATGTTCTCACAGAGAGAAATCTGTGTCGCCGCATTGACGTCTGCGATTCGCTTCTCAAACGTCACGAAAATGATCCGTTTTTGAAGCGCATCATCACTGGGGACGAAAAATGGGTTGTATATGTACAACAACGTCAAACGCAAGAGGTCATGGAGCAAAAAAGATGAACCGGCTCACACCATTTCCAAAGCCGATATTCACAAAAAAAAGGTGATGCTGTCTGTTTGGTGGGATTTTAAAGGAATCGTTTTTTTTTTGAGCTTTTACCGGATAACACAACGATTAATTCGGAAGTCTACTGTCATCAGCTGGACAAACTGAATGATGCACTTCAACAGAAAAGGTCAGAACTAATCAACAGGAAAGGTGTAGTGTTTCACCAAGACAACGCGAGACCTCACACAAGTTTGGTCACTCGCCAAAAGCTTTTACAGCTTGAATGGGATACAATGCTACAGCCACCATATTCTCCAGACCTGGCACCATCGGATTATTATTTGCTCCGGTCACTCCAAAATTTTTTAGACGGTAAAACCTTCACCTCAAATGAGGAGGTCAAAAACATCCTCGATCAGTTTTTTGCCAGCAAAGACCAAAAATTTTATAAGCGTGGAATTATGCTACTACCAGAAAGATGGCAAAAGGTGTTGGACCAGAACGGTCAATATATAATTTAATAAAGTATTTGTTTATTATACGAAAACTGTCTTTCATTTCCACAAAAAAAAACGAAATGACTTTCCGAACAACCCTATAATTTGGAATGATACAATTTGTTCCAACACATGCGTCCTCACTGTATATCGTCCCTCACATTCTGCATACAATCATATTTAAAATAAAAATTACTATATTTTAATTTTTCGAGGTTCAATTTAAAGAGAACGAACTGACTACTTTTTGACGGCAAACGAACGATTTATTATTAGTGAGCCGGAGAAAGAATGTTCAGACGTCTGCATCTGATGAGTTTAGTGAGGTACAAGTTTCTTTCAAAGGTATAATTGGAAATTTTTCGAGCGCACTCAACGAACGTACATGAAGACTGATTTCGTTTAAAAAGCCTTTCAGACTTATCCGCCGGCTGTTAGTGGCAGTAACGGCAGATATATACGATGCATAAAGAAAACAAAAACAGAAATGATGCTAACTACCACTCTGCATCACTCGAAAGTATTTGCAAAGCTATTTAGCGAAACTTAATTAAGTCAATTCTATGAGAAAATTTTACTCGCTAACTAAAAAATTTGAATGGTACTAATGAAACACATACATACATACATACTTCAGGCAATGTGGTATAAATGGTCAATAGACACTTAAATTCATCTTTGGTCAGTATCTTATTACCAAAATAGTCAAGATAAAAATACTAAATGGTCATGAAACACTTTCAATTTTTGTAGGGTTAAATTCAATGCATTAGTGAATTAATTTTTGCATTAATTTTACCCACTACAGATAACCTCAAATTAATGAGGAAACTGCTGGCAGATCCTCGCTGAGAATCGAACCCGGCTTCTGACTTTACGCGCCAGTAGGTACTCCTATCGAGAATGGAATTGCCTCCTGCTTTTAGTAAAACTTTCGGTACGAATTGCCTCCTAACAGCAGTATGAGTATGACTTTGAGTGCTAGTGATCGAAAATGATTGTAAAGACAATATTATTATTACAATAAAAACTTTAAAGGCATTTCAGGTAACTTGCTTACAGTAAGCTTCACTAAACTAGAATAAAAAATGAGAACAAAGGTAAGGGTAAAATCATCGAAATATCTATTGGTCAAAAGCTTGTTACTACCCCATCAATCTTTAACTACAACACTTTTGCAATCAATCCATTAATTATTAATTAGCTGTTTGATGTTTTTCATTTGAGCTGTTGGTTTTTGACAACTTTAGGTTTAGTTTTCAAACACCCCTGTGTAATGGGATCAAAAGCTGTACGAAGTCTGTTAGAAAAGTTTCAATTTTTGTGGCGTTATGTTGGTACTCATACCTCTCATTTGTACCGATAAATTCGGCCAGGCTGAAGGTTCAATTAATTTTTGACAGCTGCTTTGCTTGCACGTGTTTTGGCTCGTTTTCGATTTTTGCCTATTCCAGAAAATGGATTAAAGAATCTGTATTAAATTTTGCGTGAAAAACAAAATTACGTGCGCGGACGCATTCCGAATGTTGACTGTGACTGTGATGTCATCATGGATCGAAGCAACGTTTATCGGTGATACAAAATGTTTTCAGAGGGCCTAAAAGATGTGAACAACGAAGAGCGTGCCGAACGCCTGAGCACGTCAACAACAGACGAAAACATTGATGGAATGAAGAGAATAGTATTGGCCAATCGTCGAATCACCGTTAGAGAAGTTGCTGAGGACCTAAACATATCGATTGGCTCCTACCATTCGATTTTAACCAATGATTTGGGCATGAGATGGGTCGCCGCAAAATTCATACCAAAATTGCTTAATTTTGACCAAAAACAGCATCGCACTAACATCGCCAAGGAGGTGTTATACTCTGTCCGCAATGACCCAAATTTGCTCCAGAGGGTGATAACTAGTGACGAATCATAAGTTTATGGTTATGACGTGGAAACCAATGCTCAGTCATCCCAATGGAAGCTGCCGCACGAGCCAAGACCGAAAAAAGCGCGCCAAGTTAGGTCGAATGCTTTGCTTACAGTTTACTTTGACTGCAGGGGCGTGGTGCATCATGAGTTCTTGCCAGAGGGTAGAACTGTCAATAAGGAATATTACCTGCAAGTTAAGCGAAGTAATCCTCCAAAAAAGCCCGGATTTGTGAAAGAACAAAAATTGACTTTTGCACCATAACCTCCCTGCTCACACGTCGTTGTTTGTGCGCGAATTTTTGGCCAAAAGTAACACACTAATAATGCTGCAGCTACCGTATAGCCCAGATCTGGCCCCTGTGACTTTTTCTTGTTCCTGAAACTGAAGAGGCCCATGAAAGGACGACGCTACTCTACGATTGAGGAGATAAAGCTGAACAATATCACAAAAAAATAATTTTTTGAAGTGCTTCGAGGATTGGAAGAAACTTTGGCACAAGTGTATAACATCTGGTAGGGATTAGTTTGAAAGGAACAAAATAGATATTCATGAATAAATAAATAATTTTTGAAAAAACACAAAATTCGGGATACCTACTTTTTGAATAGACCTCGTGCCTGTGTAAAGAAAAGGTGCAAATTTTATGTTAAAATGGAAGGTGAAAATTTTACAAATTTAATTTTTCATCACTAATTTGTTATCATCTGTAGAGGGTAAATTTAATTCAAAAATTAATTCACTAATGTACTAAACTGTTAGTATAAAAATACTAAACTGGTTCAGCATAAAAATTGTAAAGGAGTTATTCTATGTTACATTAAGTTAGTTAATTTTTTTATTATGAAGTCAGCACATTAAAATTTAAATAGCTACTTTTTCTATTAAAAATACTGACCAAGGCCCAAGGGATACTGCCCATCGAATTTAAACGCTGAGTACCTACCTATAATATTAAAATCTGGGCAAAAGGAATTTGGAAATGCTTTTCAGCAAAATACAAACCTATACATAATCTTAAAAAATTAAAAGGAATACTCACCCCTAATTACCACAAATAATTTTATATGAGCGGACACGTGTTTCGCCCACTTCACACGTGGGCATTATCAACACGAGACTGTGGTAATTAGGGGTGAGTATTCCTTTTAATTTTTTAATTAATCTCCTCCTATTTTTTATATATCATCTCTTAACAAATTAGCGAGAAGTTTATTTTCAGTTACTTAATCTCAATGTCAATATTATAAGAAATTGTCATTTGAAATCAAAACTGCTTAACGTGTGTTATGCATGTTTTAACTGGTAACAGATTAGTAACAATTTTGCAAAAGATTTTACAACCATAAACGGAGAAAAAGTAGAAAAATTACCATGCTCGTCACTATAAAGTGAATGCAAGAAACATGTATTGACAAAATTCAATATTAATCCAATAATTTTTGTAAGATAACCCCTTATACATTGTACTTTACCAGAAAGCATAGAATTATGAGACAGCATAATCGTAATTTTTGTAAAATTTTTCTCTCCGTGTACTATGTACATATTTGCAAAATTAAAACGCCTACCTTTCATGCTGGAAATTTTCCGTAGTTTCAAATCCATTTTCTGCAGTTTATACTGTAATTAATTATTTTATTGTCATTCCTATAAAAGCCTCAGCATAATACTGGTTCACTTAATGTAACTAACTACTTAAAAATTACGTTTTCGGCCAGAATTAACCCATCGTGTATGACATCATACAAAACACCGTCCAACGACAATGTTCTGAAACGACTAAAGCTAATCGAGATAAGGAACATCGATATATTTTGCCAACTCTCCAACTGTTAAAATTGTTACTCCACTAGAGTACTTATGAAGGTGATCCGACAGAACTGCTTTTTGAACATAACGCAAATTATGAACATTTGCTGATCGAAAAATTAAATAAAATGTATTTTCACCTAGTGGATAACAAAAAGTAATAATTGTTGGATCTATACAGGGCGTCCCGTAAACGATAGATATTCCATTGCGTATGGGGAACCCCAAGATTATACAGAAGATTGACTTTTATGTTTAGTAAAAGCCAAACGCTTTTCAAGTAATTTGAACATTATTAAATTGACTCCCCTAACCAGTCTTTTGGAAGCCACCACCACAAATGAAGGAAATTTGTTCATTTTAGTTCTTGCATAAAATTCTTAAATAGTTGTGCTATCTTATATTCCTCGGAATTTTAAAACCACAAACCTAATCTAAAAACTATTGTTGAACAATGTGGTTGTCAAAAATGGTCTAATAAAGGCAGTTATTCTGTGGGACAAACATCTTTCGTCCTTTCTTTAATTACGAATTCTTTTTATTGAATGTTTTTTATATCTATCGATAATTAATGACTCGAGCTTCGCCTTTTCAAATTATAGTGGACATTATCTATTATTAACCCAAATGAAGAAATTGATTTCATCATCTTAAGATAGTAACATAACAAGGTAAAAGTCAGGGTTGTAGCTAGGCTCGAATGTATCTAAGAACTATTAAATCCTCAATTATGAAGAACAAGCGAACAACCTGGTTGAACTTCCATATTTGGATGTAGAAATTTACGTCTACGTGAGAGTGAGGTAATAATTAATTGTTGGGTGAGATGATACGAGTAAATAGATACTACCAAAAATACCATTTAGATCATATTGTTTCTGCAAACATATTATAATAATTAACACAAACAATATTTAAATCAGCCGAATTCTACGATTCGCCATCTTATTAAAAACGCAAAGAACTTCGTTCAGATAAACTGATTTTGTTCTTTTTTTTTTCAAAGGTCAGAAATACCATACCAGTCATTCTCTCGTGACCCATTGACAGCCTTTGAGGCCTATTGATTGCAGTTAAAGTTGAAAACAGATTCGCACACTGCAATGCTACATCCTTTAGTCGTCACAGATGCAAAAAGTTCATACGTATCTTTGGTATTTTTAAGGTAGGGTATTGTGATTTCAAGGTAGCGTATTGCCCCACAATGCCCCCCCCCCGCTAGCCACGGCCGTGGCAAAGGTTCTATCACCAAAGTAAATAAAATACTCAATACAACTAGAAACAAATTCATTCCCAATTTGTCAAGCAAAAAAGTAACTATTACCGCCATATTAATTTTTATTCTCTTGTAAAAATATATTTTATTAAGTCAACGATCCTGTGTGAGAATCCGTATTCGTTATCGTACCATGCGATCAGTTTAACGAACGTCTCATTTAACGGTATCCCTGCTGCAGCATCAAAAACACAAGAATGAGAGTTACCGATAAAATCTGACGACACAACCTCATCTTCCGTATAATCTATAATCCCTTTCATGTCGCCTTCTGCGGCCATTTTAACAGCATTCGCTATATCTTCATATTTAGCTGGAATTTCCAAGCGTATTGTTAAATCCAATACAGAAACATCCGGTACAGGAACTTGAAAAGCCATTCCTGTCAGCTTTCCGTTCATTTTGGGTATAATTTTACCAATCGCTTTGGCAGCGCCTGTTGAAGCTGGTATAATGTTTTGTTGAGCACTACGCCCATCTCGCCACAATTTCCCGGAAGGACCATCCACGGTTCTTTGGTTCGCAGCAATCGCATGTATTGTAGTCATTAAACCTTCCGCAATTCCAAAATTATCGTCGATAACCTTGACTAAAGCGGCCAAGCAATTAGTTGTACAGGAAGCGTTTGAAATCACCTTCATGCTTGGGTCATAAGCATCCAAATTAACACCACAGACAAACATTGGCGCGTCACATGACGGAGCCGTTATTATAACTCTTTTTGCTCCTCCGCATAAGTGTGCCGACGCTTTGTCGATTGTTGTAAATACTCCAGTAGATTCAACGACATATTCAACCCCTGCCTCACCCCACGGTATGTCACTTGGGTCACGTTTGTTGAACACGCGAATTTTCTTCCCGTTAATTACAATGCTATCTTCGTCAGTAGACACGTCGCCGATAAATCTGCCGTGAGTCGAGTCGAACTTGAAGAGATAAACCATGTAATCACGATCTAGAAATGGATCGTTAATTGCAACGACGTCTACGTCTTTTTCTAGAGCAGCACGTAAAACTAAACGTCCAATTCGCCCAAAACCGTTTATTCCAACTTTAGCCATAATTTGAACACATTAAATTTTAACGATATTAAAAATCAAATAATTCACAAACTTGACAATGTCATTTAATCATATTTTATTTATACTGATAGGAAATGTTATGCTATTGCCAATTGTGGCGAGTAAATGAAGCACTGCAAGAAATAAATAAATTCGAAGTATTCAGTATTCTGTCGAAACTGCCAGACGCGGATCGCGATTTCGATCCAGCTGGATCTCATCAGCGGGTCGCAGACAGTTTGAACAGAACACAGACCAACTTTTACCTGCTGTCTTAACAGAACACTTCGAATTTCTTTATTTGATTATGATAACGTGCCTATCGAGTAGTGGTGAGTTACGCCTGGATACATAGTGATTCGTAAAATGTAGCATTGTACTATAGATGGCGTTTACCGCACCATTTGTAGGATTTCACTGCAAGAAAATCAAATGAAGCAATATCTAGCAGAAGCTAAATAAAAGCACTGAACTTAATAGATAAAAATTATTTAGTACACAACGCCGGCCGTGAAAGCTTACATAGTTTCAAAGGGATTAAATCCCAAAATTCTGCATACACGTTTAACAACTTAAAACGCGTTTCGACACTTAAAAGATGACATCCTCAGAAATATCTGACTTGGAAAGCCATTAAGGTCAGTCTACGTGCGCAGAAGTTAAAACCCAATGAGGTCGTTATTTTAATTGCTATTATTTTTATATTTTCAATGGCTAGAGGCTTAAAATAAGATTCATTAGAAAATCATGATACATGGATACAGATATAAAACTCAATGAAATATTGTAAATAGTCAAACAATACTCATAAAATGGCATTTACTGACAGTTACTTGTAATGGATGATTTTTAATTCATGGGCTTTCTAACTTTAAAAGAGGAGCAGCTTTTATCCATCATAACCTAACTTATTCTACTTAATCTAGCATAATACGAACTAATGCAATTTAAATTAAGTAGGGTAAGTTACGTTATGATGTGTAAAAACTACTCCCACCTCGTGAGAGCTTTCTTAATCGCTTTCATAAGTGAGGCTCTAAATATAGTATGTATTTGTTCCTCAATTTTTACTATCAGCTTTGATCAGTAACTGTCATAGGTTACGTACTCGAAAACTATTTATTTACAAAAGAAACTGTATAAAACACCTTCCCTGTGATTAAAAGTGTTCCACATTTGGACCATTTAGGGCCATTTTCAAGAAGAAGGTTTCGGAAAAACCGTGGTATGAATGTTTTTACCCAAATAAGTCAATATTTGTCTTGTAAAAGAACGTAAAACAGACGTTTATTTTTATACATTCCATACTCCTAGAAAAGTAGAGTAGGTAATAATAAAATTAGAAGTTACTTCTTACTATTTATATATAATCGATATAAGTAGCTGTATTTAATTCTAATAATAGCTAAATAAAACTCAAATTCCTGAAGATCGATTTCACATGTCGAATATTCAATTTTACTCGACCAATGCAATTGTTGAATTTCCTGCATCCGGCGTCCGGCGAGTTCACAGTCCGTTGAATCTCTAAAATAAATCATTTCTATTTCATAGCATTCGCTGTCAGTAAATTGTCAAAATTTGATATTGTGACTTTACTATTGTATTTTCTGTACATGTCTTTTTAAATAAAAATTCTCGGTAATGGTAAAATGTGGAATAAATGGATTTGGTCGCCTTGGGCGCAAACTTTTACGTGTTTGTATCGAGAGAGAGATCGATATAGTGGCCATAAATGACGTAAACATGAGCGCCGACTATATGGCTTATCTTTTAATGTACGACTCAACTCATGGCCGCTTTAAGGGACACATCAAGGTTCAAGATGATGTACTTGAAGTCAACGATCAAAAAATAAAGGTGTACAAGGAAAGCGATCCTAAGGAAATTCCTTGGTACTCCGAAGAAGCGGAATATATCTTCGAAGCAACTGGATTATTCACCACAACCGAAAAAGCGGCGCAACATTTTAACGGGGGTGCTAAAAAGGTTATTATCGCGGCTTCCTCACCTGACGCACCCATTATCATGTATGGAATAAATACAGACGATTATAATTCTTCCATGAAGGTGATTGCAACAGGCACGGGCGGCGCCGTTTGTGCTGCAGCAATTCTTAAGGTATTTGTTATTTGTAATGAATCAAACAACAAATATGCCTATAATATGATACTATCGTCATCCAGTGGTATTTCCTGCTTACAGTAGTAGTAGGGAAGTAAAGCAGAGGATAGCGCAGGGTCGTGTTGCCTTTAATAAAAAGAAGTCACTTCTATGCTTGCGAACCGTTAATTTAGAAATTCGAAAAAGGTTGTTAAAGGTGTATGTTTGGGGCACGGCGTTGTACGGGTGCGAAACATGGACAGTGGGAGCGGCGGAAAAGAAAAGGTTAGAAGCGTTCGAAATGTGGTGTTATAGGCGGATGATGAGGATATCGTGGGTAGAAAAGGTTAGAAATGA